AGTTATGGAAATCACTGTGATTAACAACCAAACCAGCTAGTGCTCTTCAGGACTCTGACAACTTGCTTGGTATTAGGATCAAACTGGGTCTGTTTTGTTCCATGGAATAAATAGATATAGCCTAGAAAGAAAAATAAATTGAAGGTTTAGAATTTGCCTGTGCAATCAATTTAAAAGATTTTTCTAGAAAACAAAATTAACTTTGACAGGAAGTACATACTCCTTTATTAGAATGCCTGTTCTCAGTAAACCTGCATAAGTATTCATAAAGGTTCTCTTGAAAATCAATTTGCATTCCAATGAAGCACGTACCTTGTAGCATAATAAACATAAATATTAGTTTTATCTACCGTTATGCTGGAAAGCTGCATCAATCTGTCCAATTTTTCCGAAGTCTTTGATTATTTTCCTTGGATAACCCTTATCCATGGATTGTCTTCTTTCATCATAGCTTAATTTATAAAAAATAGCATTAATATTTATAGATGGGCAAATAATATTTAGAAAGTTCAAAATAAGACCTAACACAAAAGTGACACATCTTTTACTGGAATAATCCAACCTGACTGGACTATTACAATTGTTACTGTTCTGTGTATATCCATGAGAGACGCGAGAGATTTAAAGTGCTGTCCTATAGAAATGAATGGCAAAATGTCCAATGATGCTAGGATTTCACTGACAGCAGGGTCACCCAACTTCTGAGCAGATGAGGACCAGATGCCACACTGCCTGCCCATGCATAGCTGTCTTAGCTCCATTCTTCTCAACAAACTATCCCAGCTATCATATGCTAATCATGGTGGGATGCTGCTTGTCCACTGACTCCAGCAGCTGCTCCATTCCCCCCTGGAGCTGTGCTGCACTGCAGGGATTGCTGGGGCCTGTCTGCCTGTGCACCTCCTGCCCCACTGGGTTTCAGTTGCTTGGGTGGGGAGGGGCACACAGCACAGCTCCCACCATTGCAGGTAGCCTGCACAAGTGCACGTGTATGAGAGTGCGTGTACAGCAGCAGGCGTGATGTAGGGAATGGGGGCACATGGGAGCCATGTTAACTCTTAAGCCCACAGGCCATGAGTTGGACAGCTCTGATCTAGAAAACGTGTTGTTGTGTATATGTATTCCACTGAAATGGCAGGAAAAGGTAAACACCTGACTTGGTGCATTATCTTACAAGGCTGCCCCAAATGACTATAACATTACTAGCCTATATATACCACATACATATAGTGTCATACCACTGAGGAAAGCAGAAGCTCTGTCTGTGTAATTCTAAACCATATTTGTCCAGGTTTCAACAATTTAGATAGTATATTATGAAAAATCTTGATGAATCTTTATAGGAGGATGGTGGTACTACTACAGTATTATTTAAAGAGTCCCGTTCAACAGAATCCTAAACTGTTTTCACAAACTAAGGTGTCATTGGACTATAAGGAGGGGACCTGTTCAGAGCAACATGCTGCAGAAAAAAAATACTGAGCTGTCATGTATTCTAAACAAAAACAATGAAATATAAACAAATTGTAACCACAAAGGCTAAGTACAGATAGTCAAAAGCGCAAGGCTAAATCAATTCAATCTTTGCAGTTTAGTTTAAGCTGCATAAATTGAACCGATAAGAAAGTAAACAGACATTCACTTTTGATTCTTGAAATGCAGCCACGTGCCTGCAGTGACCCAGGCCAGAAGCCAGGGAACACTAGAGTATGCTTCCCTGCTCAGCTGGAGCAGACAGCTTGAATCTGGAGGGGAACTGGGACAGAAGTTCAGTAAACCAATGTAACCTAAATCAGTTAAGTCTGATACTACATCCATCCATGTTTATCTTAAACCAGTTCTGACTGTTTTGAAAGTGGTTTATCTGCACTGAGCTTCTGTTGTGTTACAGATTTGAACCAGTTTCCAATCACTTATACCAGTTTATGTGTAATCTCTGTTCCTAGGCAAAGTGAAGTACAATTATACCTCATGCAATTATACAGAATAATAGAAAAATAGGAAAACCCCTTCCTCAGGTTTAGGATCAACTCTGTCCAAATCATCCATCCAAAATGTTCACTGAAGTGAACTCTGTGACTTGACTTCATATTGAAGGGAAAAAAGTCCAGCATGATAACAATTCTTTTACCTTGATGTTCGAGAGTTACAGGAATATATTTCATGATATGACAAAAAAATTTGCATGTTTGTGGGTTAAATGTAGACAATTTCCCAGAAAATCACCTGTTTATAGATTTTGTGGATCCTACAGCATGTGATTCTAACCGAAATAAACAATTCTAGAAGATGGTTACAGAATCTCCTAGAAAGTTTAGTATTTTTATTGGAGTAGTTATATTTGGAAATAAATCCCATAAAAATGTATTTAATTTTATGTACCCCAGCTAAATTAAGTGCTATTTTATATTATTTTTCACAATCATCCTTCAAGCCACATGAAAAAGAAAATATGTTAAGACCGTTGAGCATTAAAACTTACCTCCAATACTTGTTGGCTACAAAGAAATATGTTTTCCCTGTATTCTTATCACTGAAAGCTGCATTAATTCTTTTAACAGTCTTTGGAAAGCCCAGCTGATGAATTCTTTTAGGGTAGCCATGGACTACATTGGATTCTTTGAAAACCCAATATTTGTCCTCTGCAAAGAAAAATAAAAATTAGTGTTTCATCAGCTGGTTCTGCTAACAGTAATCATGACTTCTGCAAGAGATCATTGAAATATTTGTTTTCATCAACAAATACCCCTGTTTCTAAAACAATATTCTTTCGTAAAATTTGTCAGATTAGCACTTTATAGATTTTGTGGAAAATGTTGCAGCCCATTCAATGTATTTTTTTTACAGAACTTGTAGAAATACATTTCCTGAATGCTCATAAAAAACTTACGCTCAAAAGTTCTGAGCGCTGTAGATGTTTGACATTTCAAAATTTCTCCTGGGTTTCACTGACTTCTAGGCATTCCCCAGCAGTACTGGTTCTTTCTGTACTTAAAATGGAGGCTCTTGGGATCAGAATTCTCTTGTTCTCAAAACCTTTGAGCAACCTTTGTTGATGATAAATCTTTTGTTAAGCTCCAGTCCAAAAAGGTCCTTTCCAAAAACTCTGATAGGAGTTTAACTTACAACTGACAGTGAATTAATTAAACAACGTCACAGAGCTACTCAAATTAACATTTTGAATTTAGAAAAGGCATTCTGCTTGAAAATTAAGTTTAAATGGGGCTTCATCTAAAGGGAATCAGGGAAGATTCCTTAATTGCACATTCTGTGAAGCAGCCTAATTACATCAAATTCATATGTCAGAGACCACGAGAATTTAAGATTGTGTTACCTTTAAAAAGAACAAATTGATCTTTTTCAACATTTTCATAAGCAGCTTGAATTCCAGCTGGCAGGGTTGGCCAGAACTGAGAGATTAAATTTATCTCAGTCTCTCTTATTTGCGGATGCTTGCGCCATAAGTACCTGATTGAGAGATAATTTGAAAATTAAAGCAGTTCCACTTTAGTCAGAAACAGATCCAGAGTTTTACAAGCCAGGGTGCCGGAACAGCAAACAACGCTGCAGAGGTGAGTACATCCTTCACTCTAGACTACACTATGGGAGCAGCAGCTGGGGACTTTTTAAAACTTCCAAAGCTGGTAAGAATACTTCCCTCTACCCATTTCTGCTCAGAGGCATGTCCCCTCCCCTTCCCTTCCTCTTATCCCCCACCTGCCGTTGCTGCTGTCCCCATTGCCCTGCGGTGAGGGGAGCTCCAGAGCTGCTCCAGTTGGGCTGCACAGGGGTTGGGCTCATCCTGGGGAAGTGTCAACACAAGCAGGCAGATGGGTTCCTGCCTGCAGGGAACACCCAAGGGGACCAGGCAGGGTAGGGAAACCTGCCCGTGCACTGCTGCCCCCACTGTCACTGTCCTGGACTGAGCTCTCCCTATCCCCAGAACAGCAGGGGAGAGGGGAAATGAAAGGGAGGAGACAGGGAAGGGAGGGGAGGGGACATGCCTCTGAGCATGGAGGGGAAAGAAGGGAGGCAATTCTTATCTTCAGGGATTTAAAAAATTCCCTGGTTGTGACTCCTGCCATATGGTCAGAAAAGGAGGTGTGACCGCACCACTGCACCCCTGTGAATGCACCCCAAATTTGAACCCAGTGCAAAGAGGACACAAGTCTGCTACAGCTACTACCTCGTAGAGTTAATTCCTGAGCTACTTTTGTGCTGAAGAGGAAAGAGTCTAATACTGCTGAAGACACATGATGTGGAAAGGTCATTACACAATTTCCCCCACTTTCTTAATAGACCTGAACATATAATGGGTAAAATAATAATTGCAAATAACACGTGGTCTCATTTTCTCAAGACTTATGAATCTGGCTTAGAATGCAAATAGAATTTTCCTATTTCCTCTTTACAAAGTGAGAGCTGGCGGGGCCCCTGTACCAGGATTTGACAGGTCTCCAGATTTCTCTCACAGCCCCTACTCGTACAAAGCACTCCTACACTGTGCTGCCACACTGGACTGCCCACCAAGCCTGGGTTTCATTTCCACTGGAAACAATAACAATTCCTTTACAATTACAGTATGCAGTGAATATTTTACCACTTACAAAGATCCTTTGGAATCAGAAAAAATAACCCATTTTGCCACAACTTAGGGAAATTTGAAGAAAAGACAAGGTGCCTGCTAACAAGGGATGCAAGCCACCACTTGCAGATATAGGTGGTGACTTTCTAGTGATATTGCTTTGTTTACACTACATTTCAAGTGGCGTTTTTATTTTTGTGACTGAAGGGGAAGAATTTTTGGTACTTTTGCTTCCTTCTCAGTACTGCAGTACAATGAGCCACCACACAGGCTTCTTGAACTTACCTGCCCTTAAAGAACAGCATTTCTCCACGCAGAGTAGCAACAGCATCAAAAGACAAATTAGGGTCACACGTTCCTGGAGTTGAGGGTCCAGTTGGTTGAACAGGTTGCAGAGATTGTCCTACATAAGGATCAAAGAATAACTTAATATTGTATCACATAGAAAAATACAACTGAAACTCTGAGTCAGGGAACATCACTCCCCCTGCCCCGCTTCCATTTACTGAAGATCAGGAAAATATGGATTGCTCTAGGATAGGTAACCTTGGGAAGTTGTGTAATGTCCTTCATTGGAGGTGTAGTAAGAGAATGTAGACAAACCATTTTTTTAGACTTAGGTATAAAGGTGACCCCACCCTTGGGCAGAAGAAGAAACTAGATGACCTCAGCAGGTCCCTTCCCTCTTTACTGTTTATGCTTTTTCTGGGAGCTCTGTATGATAACACTAGATGGTTTCTTAAAATAAACACTTCTAATTGATTAAGCCATATTCTGTGGAAAAGCAGAATTAACTAAGTGAAACATTAGGTGCTGATTTTCTTACCATAGATAGCTTGAATGCCATTAATGTCATCTTGAGGGAGATGAAATTCTTTAGTGTCTCTGTAGGCATAATTCGGGTACATCAGAGAACCAGGATCAGGAGAATGAGCCAGACCCAATGAATGGCCTAACTCATGGGCAGCAACGATGAACAAGCTGTAGCCTGAGGAATAAACATAGTGCCATTAAAATAGATGCAATGTGTTTGAATATCTAGTGTGGGTGTCTAAATGGGAAAGAGCTTTCTATGTCAAGACAGAACACACTATATGTTAGAGATATTTTTACTTATTCTGGAAACACTATGGCCTAAACAGGTATAGTAGAAAAAGAATAGTTATATGAATACATAGTCTAATCAGGCACTAATTAAGATTACATTTATTTATGCCAAAATGTGATAATGGACAAAGACACCAGCTAGGATTGGACCCTGCTGTTCAAAGGTACATAGAACAACACATAAACCCTGCCATAAAGCAGGGCTTGCTGCCAAAGGAAGTTACTTATCTCAGCACCATTTTTTTTACTCTTAACTCATTACAGACTCGAGAAAAAAAACAACCCAGCAAGCAAATCTAAATGAGACAGTTACTGCACATTGACTTAATAACACTGTCCAGTAGCATGTCATGGCAAAAACTATGCTAATAGCCTACTGCGCAGTGTTATTAGGCTAATGTGCAGTAAGCATCACTAAATAACCATGTGCCAGCACTACTGCAAAGTAACTTTAGGTACTGCACATTTAGTTAGTCCTTGATTAAGGAAGTAGTAAACTAAATGTGCAGTATCTAAGGAGGGTTAATGAATGTGTAGACAAGCCCAGAATGAAGCTCAGCTAACTCCAGCCTCTTGCAGAACTGCTTTCCTCAAAGAAGTCTGTCAAAGGGAGGGAAGAAAAAACATCTTGGGACCAGAATCTGCTACTCTTATTCCAAATATAACATTGGAAATCAATGAACAACTCGAGATGTAAATTGCTATATTACCTGAGCAAACAAGGCCAGCAAGGCAAATCTTACCCCTATTGTATTTTGTCCAAGTTTCCTCCTCATCAAAGTGGACATCTCCACCAATCCGGGGACCAGGCTGAAAAGCATGAGCCAGTGTCCCATGGGGTCCATAAAAGGGATACCCATCACCATGATCTAAAAAAAAGTAATAAATTAATTTCTTCAGTTGCCTCTATAATTGATGATGGTTAATGACTGCTTGATAACTGCCTAGGTATTACTTTGTAATCTGTTAGCTTATTTTTTCCTAGGTTTTTCTTAGGTTAGATATTAGGAAAAGCATTATCGCTAGGACGGTAGTAAAACACTGGAACAGGTTACCCAGAGGGGTTGTGGAATCTCCATCCTTGGAGGTTTTTAAGACCTGGCTAGACAAAGCCTTGGCTGGGATGATCTTGTTGGGGCTGGTGCTGCTTTGAGGAGGTGGTTGGACTGAGGTCCCTTCTAATCCTAATTTTCTATGATTCTATGATCTATGATTATTGTGTTATTTTGTATCACCTCTATATTGAAAAGACATCATTATATCTGCTGCTCCATCCTCGATTCTTCTGAATGTCAGTGGTACCACATTACTCCAGACTTCAAATGCTTGTTTGATAGCCTCGTCCACATCAGCTGGTCTCATGTCAGGTGTGCGGTTTATAATCCTTTAGGATAAAGCAAACATTAGTCTATGCACATTGACACTTGCAGGTTATTGTTAACAATACATTGCTGTAGTAAAAATATTTTATTTGATGCAAAATTCCTTATATCCATGTTTTGACAGAGGAATAGGTAGCTTGCTATTCAAATCCACAGTACTTATAACTCCTCCTAACTTTCATTAAGGCAGCCTCCTCCTTTAGAATATCAAAACCCCTCTTCTTGTGCTAAAGTCCAGAAGGGAGGGCATAGCTTTGTGTTTTTAGGCCCACATATTTGCAAGTTTGAGCCTAACCCTTTTAGCTCCACAAATTGCTTAGAGAACTATTACCTGTATGTCAGATCATTTCTTGTCCACTTTGGATTCCCATCAATTAAAACATACTCGCCGATGTCAGGCACACCACATCTGGGCTGCTTCATCATTTCCACAGTCTCATTATTTAACTTCCCAGTCACTTTTAGTCCAAAAAATGACTGCATTTTCTTGAGTTTTTCAGATACAGAATCAGTGATTTTCCTCTTAAAAGAAGGGTGCAATTCTGTTTCCAGACTGTAGAAATTTCTTAGATAACCCTGCCAAAAACAAGAGCAATGAATGTTGGTGAAAGGTCAGAGGTTCTCCTAGCAACCATAGAGCTAGTGTGGCTGTGGCACACCAGTGTCTGAGCTGATAGCACCTAAGGAAGAGATTGTGTGAGTGTCTGGCTACTTCAGTCTCCCCAGCATGAAGGTATCCATATATCAACCAAAGACAACCTTTGGCAGGAGCTCTACCACTACACCTCTGCCACTACATAGCATGTTGATAGCTCAAAGCCTTATCTAAAGCATTCGAAACTTGGGGTCTGTGTTCCAAGCAACTAGGATGGATTACTTTCTTACTAAATTAAAATTCAGGATAGATTTCTTCTTGATATGTAGATATCCTGTTTTATCAATGAGTACTGTTGCCAAAGAGTCTTAGAAATCTAAAGTTACCTTTCCAAATTTCAATTCAATTTTTATTAATGATGATCATTTAGCCCTTTTTTTCTGAGTAATACAGTTTGCTTCAATACTGTTAGGTACTAGCCCTCAGTTATTATGCAACTCTGAAAAATGGTGAAACCAACGGATGTTGCTGGATGGTGAGTGTTTTGGAAAATCAATAGCTTGATTTAGGAAAACAAACATGGATATAAAATTCTCATTTTTGTAACTCTTTTAAAAAAAATCTTGGCCCCAGTAAGTTGACAGTGCTATAACAGCCTAACTAGGAATAGCAAGTTTTATAGCTTTTAACATTTTTGGTTGTTCTTTTGGTCTTTTGGGGGGTATATACTTGGATATATGCCTTATTTTAGGTGTGTAAGAGATCCCATGGAAATAAATGAGACTACTCAGCATATTGACTTAAAACTAAGGACTAATTTGAGTGCCTGCCTGAATATATGGAACCACAGAATCTGGTTGTAAGAGAACATCATTCATTCATGTTTCCATATTGTTTTCACTTTGTTATATCACATCTGATTGGATAGATTGAAATAAAAACAGACAAATTAAATGAAACTCTTAATCCTGCTTTGCCAAACAATTTTCATTAAGATAAATTGAGAGAAAAGAAGAAAAGAGCTTCTTTAAGGCCTCTTTAACTTGGTTTATTCCAAAACAAGAGGAAAAGAAGTGCAATTTAACATTTATAAAATCCCTTTTATGAAACACACAAGACTATTCACTCTGAGGTAGAGAATATGGGAGCCATGGCAAGTATTTACCTCAACAAGCATTGTGGTGTCAACTTCTGGAGCCACAGGAGCAGCAGAGGAAAGTGCTGCACATGCTAGCAGCAGGAGTGGAAGGCTTTTCATTCTTACTGGCATTTCTGTGTCTGTTTACTCACAAGCTAGCGCACACCTCTCAGACGGTGCAGTTTATATAGCAGATGTGTCCATCAGCTGGAGCTTGACTCACTATGTATAATATCGTCTCAGTAGCAGAAAAATGATGATCCAAATAGATTCATCATCAAATAGTGATGCAACAAGGATTAGCTAATAGATTTCCCCTCTTCCAGTCATTTACTATATTTAATAAGAGTTACAAATAAAATAAGAGTCCTGTGATTTCATATTCTTTTCCTTCCTCATTTACACTATTTCTCAGCCAAGTGATTACAGTGCTTCAGAAGTTTAAAAAAGAAAATACAGTAATGAATAAAACACAACAGTCATTCAGGCTCTCAAGTGCTTGCTTAACTTTAAAGCTGTGTGCAGACTACGTGACTTCAACCTACAGGTACTTACAGCTTTTCTGTGTCCCCCGGGACTTTGGCTCTTTGAGGCAAGGGTCATCCTTTGTCCTGTGCTTTTACACTTATTGGCACTGGTCATGAATTGTGCCACGATAATCCAACTAATTAATATTATAGGCAGAATCTTCTTTTACGATAATCCAACTAATTAATATTATAGGCAGATTTTTCTTTTCCCTCGTGTGTCAAAATTGAATTTTCCAGCCACATAACTGCTATTTTCAGCACTTACTCACAGTCTCTTATTCTGGATGTAAAAATGGCCACGTGGCCACTTAGCATGAACAGCAGACTGGACTGGAAGTCCAGGTACTTAGCTCTGAATGTAAACTTAAGTCCTGGCCTGGTGAAAGCTGAAGCAGACCAGGGCCCTCCCATATTTCAGATCCAAAGGGAGAGTGGTTAGATCACCTCCCTAGAAAGCAGATGGCTCAGACTCTGTTCTGCTCCACACACCAACAGGGGACTTAAACTTGAATCTCTCTGACTTCCTTGCCCTGATCTTAAACCACCAGGTGATAGATCAGGTATTCTGTCTCTCTAGCACTCCTTTTGAAGATGAGCCACTGAACCATGTATTTAATCTTCACTGAATCAAAGCAGAAGAGATGTTTGTGCTCTATAGGAAGAAAGGGTTCAGGTAGAATCCAAAGTCTGTTCCCTTGTAGAACAGCTTCCATCTTACTGCCCCAAGCACCCTCTACCTTGTGTGCTTCCTTCTGACCCTATGTATTTTGCTTTCTTTGCTGCTGAGGGGGATAGCTTAAAATGGAAGAACCTGGAAAGTTCCTGATCTAAAGCCTGATAGTTAGGGCAATGTACCAGGAAGAAAAGGTACAGATTGAAAATGTCTCATAGTTCTCTGCCTCCTCTGGGGTTTGACACCTGCTCCCTGTGGTGCTTTGCTAGGTAGAGTTTCATGACTTAACACACACATACAGAGCTGCATACTTGCCTGGCCCCATGCAGTGAACTGAACCTGCTCTGGAGCCACGCGGAAGCTTATGAACCTATACATGGCAAGTAGGGTCACAAACTGTGTGCTAGTGCCAAAAATACTTGGGCAATTTTGTAGAACTTAGGCAGAATTTAGGTACTTAAAGGGGCACATCTACATGAGATGTGTACTGTGGAGCTGACTAATTAGTTCTGCAGTAAAACATCAGCATCTACACATGCAATGCATTTAGGCTGTAGTAAAGTAATTAAATCCACCATAGGGTAGTACTGCTAGAAACAAATAATATCCTGTGGCAGAGTTATTTACTTTGTTGCAATGCATGTGTAGATGCTGATGCGGCTGGCTGGGGCATGAGGGTGCTTCGGTGCAGGAGCTACCTGCTAGCTAGCCCCAAACTGAAGCACCTTCTTGCCCCAGCCACCTCGTCCTCAGCAGGTTGAGCAGCTCTGGACTGGCAGGCTGACCCCCAGAACCCCCTGCCAGGTGAGGCTGCTCTGCCCTGGGTCTGTGTGCTGCAGTCCCAGATGTACATGCAAGCAGTGCACCTGGGAGCAATAAACTCCAGCATGAACTGTGCCAGAGTTTATTCATTCACATTAATTGCACACGTAGATGTGTCCAAGGAACTGGAGACAGATCTGAGACAGATTGCTTCCAGGCAGGAATTCCATCAAACACGGGCTGCCTACCTCCGGGCATCTCTCTACCTTGCATTTACAATCTTTTCGGCCACCTGTTGGAGGTCCCCAACTCTCTCCACTGACTGGACAGGCAAGCTAGCCAGATTTTGTTGTTTCTTTGAATCACCCTCTCAGATCCAGGTGCATATTTTTAAGCATGCAAAGCATGTCAGAGGTCATTTTAGATTTTGCCCAGTAGCACTTAGTACCTTCTTGTATGCTGCCACTGTAGACAACTGCTTCTTTTGTGAAATAACTAAGAAAAGATGATACAGGAAGTTTCAGAAATAGGGAAACGAGAATTCATTTCAACATTAGGATGATTACCAACAGAACTCATCATATTATATATAGTCTTTTGGGGCACATCTGGCTTCAGTTTCAGGATTCATCATCAAAATCAATTCTATTTTTTCACTATTCTTCCTCCATCATCATATTCAGACATCAATAAGAAGACTATATGTAGCCACAGTGCCTTTGCATTGTATTATGTGCTCATGACAGTCCATACGATTACTCATAAACTTATGGCTAACATATCCCTTTGTGTTTATCTAGTCTTGCCTTGTTAATAATAAAGATTTTTTTCCTGCAAACTTTTCTCCCACATTTGTCTTGCTTATGCTTGTATTCCTTTTCCCATGATGCTTCAGCTACCTCTTTGGGAATCTCACTGCTCTGCCATCTCTCTTTCTTTTGCCATAGAATCAAAGAAAAGTAGGATTGGAAGGGACCAGAAGTTGAGCCTAGGGCCAAATGATCATGTGGCACAGTTGTGAGTGGGGATGCCCATGAGGGCATATGGTGCCATAGTGGGACATCCAGGTGGGTGCATGGTACAGCAGCTGTGGAGACGCAGCAGTGATGGACTCAGGGACCCATGGCTTGCCCTGGTGTGGTACATGGGCATGCAGCCACTGGCCTTTAAACTCTTGGACAGCTGTGGTCTAACTTATTCTTAAACCTGCACAAAAACCCTGCAGCACAACTACCATGTACAATGCCTAAAAACATCAAGAACACCCTAACCTGTCCAGATAAAGCAGGAGGACAAGGACAGGGTCAATGTCCTCTTGCTGCAGTTTTGTAAAATACATTTGAGAAGATGGAGCCCACACACCTGCAGATGAAGGCAACTACCTCTCCCCTGAACAGTCAATGCCAAATTGACTGTGTGGTAAAATTCTTTACTAACTGAAATGTGGAAATTGGTCTCACCTTGAGCAGAGAAGCAAGACCGTCTAATTCAGAAACTCTCGGCTTTTTAGTCCTAGCAGGAATATTGATACATCCCAGTGAAAATCCCCAGCCTTAGAGAAAGACAGCTCCTGCCTCCTCCCACCCTGCCCCCCCACAATAAAACCTTGACATGTGTAGCAATGGAAAGGGAAAATAATCACTTTCCAGCTCCAAGTGGCAATAGGCAAAGCTCAGAAGCATGGGAAAGCTAACACCCTCCACTCTGCACTGCACTGCAACCTGTGGACTGCAAGCACAGCTCCACACATCCTAACTGGAGAAAAAAAACTCCCTTTCTGTCATTCTACCACAGGGGTGGGCAAAATATGGCCTGCAGGCCAAATCTAGCCCTCCAGGCCATTCATTCTGGCCTGCAGGGCCCCTAAATAAATTAGAAAATTAATATTTATCTTCCCTGGCTACCTGTCAAAGATGACAAGAGCCAGGGGCAGTAGGACCCAGGGGAAACCACAGCAGGACCCTGAACCGCAAGGTTTGCCCAGCCCCAACCCCCATTCAGAAGCCCCTGCCTAGCAGAGGCTTCTGACCTGGGACCATGGGGCTGTTCATGCCTGCCTGCGGCGGAGTAGGAAATTCAGGTAAGAGCAGGGAACGGCAGGCGGGGAGGCAGGGGAGGACTGCAGGCAATCACTCCAGTCCTCGGGGCCAGGCCAGGCTGGCTGCTGCCGAGTCCTATGGACTGGCCATGTGGCTAGGAGCCACATGGGCAGAGGGGCTGGCGGGCGGGCAGGAAAGTGGGGAAAGTGGTAGAGGGGGGCAGTGGAAGCGAGTGGGTGTGCAGGAGTGCAGAGTCTGTGCCAGTGTCCCAGGGCCAGCACTGGTGGGGCCCAGAGCAGGGTGGCAGGAGCATGGGGCACGGGATGGCAGGGGTCTATGGAGCTGGGCTGGGCTGCACCAGCAGGGAGAAAGGGGAGCTGTCCCGGCTCCATAGAGCCCCTGCCAGCTGGGACCCCTCACTCCTGCCAACCCACTGTGGGCCCTGTTGGCACTGGCCCCAGGACACCACTGCAGACCCTGCACTCCTGCCTGGCTGTCGCTGGCTCCCATGTGGCCACTCGCTTCCAGTGCCCCCAGCCCCACGATACAGGTGGGGACCAGCACGTGTAGCCCCAACCCTATGCACCCCACATTTGCCTGTCCAGGCTGAGCAGTGGCAGCATGGAACAAATTGCTCATGTGGGGGAGGGGACAGCAACCCCTCCCTGTGGCCAGTGCTTCCTGGTGCAGCTGCCCGGAGCCCGCGCAGGACTGTCTTGTGTCACCACCATCTCTGGGCTGCCCCATGGGGTAGTGGTGGCAGCAGAAAGCAGCCGTGTGGGCTCTGAGCAGCTGCACCAGGAAGCACCGGCAGCAGGAGGGGAAGGGGCTACTTTTCCTGCATGCTGAGCAGCAGTTTGTTCTGTGTCACTATTGCTTAGCCTGGGCCCTGTACTGGCTCTGGGCTTGTAAGGAGCCTGCGGCAGCAGCAGCAGCAGCAGCAGCTGGGCAGAAACTGCTACTTGGCGTGATGGAAAGCACCCTCACTGCTGGGCAGTTTTTGGTGCGGCTGCCGAGAGCCTGCACCATACTAGGCTGCAGTGATGCTCTTTTACTGACACCTCTGGGCTACCAAGCGCAGCAACAGTGACCATGTGGAGCAGCTGCAGAGCAGCCCAGAGGCTGTGAAAGAGCTGCACCACAGCCTAGCATGGC